TTTGGATAGAATACGAAGGGAACCTTGATTAAGAAGATAGTAGGTATCAGATAAAAGACTCTCGACGACACAGCTCTCGACTTCGACAACACACCTTGATTAAGAAGATAGTAGGTATCAGATAAAAGACTCTCAAGGACACAGCTCTCGACTTCGACAACACACCTGCTATAGCGCAGAATAGTTTTGATTTTGTTTTTATTGAATTAGGATGATGGAGGACACACGAAGACACAGTCTATAATATATATGAAAAGAGAAAGAAAAATAGAGAAAAGAAGTTTTAGTTTTTGGTTTTTAAGTGTTTGATATTGGTGAGTCTGAGGGAGATTACGTACCAGTCTTTTCTCCACTTTTTAGTTGAATAAGCGTGTGGAGAAAAGACCGGTTGGCAAGGATCAAATTTTTCGTTTTTGTAGTGGGGGAACGGGTGTATCGGTTAGGGTTGATTTGATGATGATTGAGACAGACGCGAGTGAGAATTCACCATTGCTGCATATTCATAATTCAAACTGAGGATTTGGATAACTCAACAGTCCCCCTCAATTTGAACGGAGTCTGTCAATCCAATCATTTGTCTGAATTTGTTGAAGGGATTCTTTCCTAGGTTCTTAGTAAGAATGTCTGCAATCATATTGCCGGTGTAAACATGTTTCATCTTGAAGGTCCCGTCTTGTACATGTTCCCGGATCCAATGGTGTTCTATAGCGACGTGTTTGACGCGCCCATGATGGACTGGGTTTTGCGCCAGGTGGATAGCACTCAGATTGTCACATATCATTTTGAGTGGTGTTTGCATTGGGATTTGGAGTTCCTTCATGAGTTTCATTAGCCATAGCGCTTCTTGACCTGCTTCAGTGATTGCCTGATATTCAGCTTCCGTCGATGATAGTGCCACCGTTGGTTGGAGTCGACTCCTCCAGCTAATCGCGCCGCCCATGAACTTGAAAACATATCCGGTTGTGGATCGCAATGTTGACCTGTCCCCGGCCCAGTCCGCATCGCTCGCCATGTTGGGAAAACTCCAGCTGGGGTTGGCGGAAAGATGCTCACTGCGTTGAGATTGGTATTTGATTCACATATGTTGGGTAAGTTTGAGGTATCGTAGGACGTGTATGAATGAATCCCAGTGATGTTGGTTTGGCTTTTCTAGGAATCTGGAAAGTACTCCAACGGCAAAGCTGATATTGGGACGAGTGCATATTGCTATGTACATGAGCGACCCGATAGCCTTGCGATAACGAGGATTCCGACTTGTGAATAGTGCCTACTCCTCATTGGATGATTTGAGCAGCTTGACGTTGTAACCAAAAGGAGTGCATGCGTTCTTGCAGTTGAGCATGTCAAATTTGGCGAGGACATTGTGGATCATCCCTTGTTGATGAAGGTAATAACTCCCCATATTGTCCCTTTCAATTTCTATTCCCACTGCAAATTTTGCCACACCCAAATCTTACATGGCCCATTCTTGTTTGATCTCCTTTTTGACCCCATCAATTTCATCGCCCGTGATGATCATATAGTCGACGTGGAGGTATATGATGCTTATTTTATCATTCCGGTTGCGGAAGAACACGCAAGCGTCGGCCTCGGTCTTGATAAAATCAATGGATTTGAGGTACTTTTCCACTTCTAGGTGCCATAGTCGGGCCGATTGCTTCAAGCCGTAGATCGATTTGTGTAGACGCCAGATGGTATCCTTGTCTTTCTTCTCGAAACCCTCCGGTTGTTCTAGGTATATTTCTTCATCTAGATCGCTGTTTAGAAAAGCAGCGACTGTGTCCATCTGTTCTATTACCCAATTGTTCCTTTCTGCCAACGCAATAACTAGGCGTAGTGATGAAGGTTTACCTGTTGGCAGCGGTGGGCCGCTACGCTACGCTACGCTTTTGGCCCAAAAAGCGTAGCGTAGCGGCGCTTTTTTTGTGCCAGATTTTTGTAGTGTTAGCGCTTTTGTAGCGCATTTTCGCTGTTTAGCGGAAAAAGCGGCTAAAAACAGCTAAAAACAGCTGTAGCGCAGCGTAGTGGGCCCTTTTTTGTGGCCCACACGCATAGCGTTAGCGGTGTCGTGGCGGAATTCCGCTACGCTACGCTTAACGCTAACGGGAATTCCGCTGCGTTACGCTACACTAACCGCTAGGGTTAGTGTAGCGGCCCACCGTTGCTGTTGGGGAAAAGGTTTGATTGTAGTCAACGCCTTCCTCTTGCGTGTAACCTTTGGCAACAAAACATGCTTTATATTTGGATATACTTCCGTCGGGGAGCATCTTGACTTTGAAGACCCAACGACCCTTGATGACTTTGCGATTTCTTGGCCGAGTGGTTAGACTGTATACCTTCTTCTCTTTCATTCCCAGGATCTTTTTCAACATGCATCAAACCATCGGTCTTTGAATTTCGAATTTTGAATCTCCTTGAAACGCTTAGGTTCGAATTTCGGGTCGCAGTTTTCTTTGGGCATCTGAACCTTTTTTGATGTAGTCATATACGCCCGCTTTGGTTGATTGCTGATCCTTGTTGATCTTCGAATGTAGTTGGGGTGGTCCAGGTGGTTGATCGGAGGTTTTGGTGGGATCACTCTTATTGTCGGTTGTTTGTCGGGTTCATTATTGCAGTTAACCTGTTCGTCTTCAGATTCATTTGAGATTTCCTCCTTTGAATCATGATCTTGGTTTGGTTCGATTTCTTCCTTTGGTTCAAGGTTGATTTCGAACGGATCATCGATTTCACCATTGCGTTCTGGGAAAACTTTTTCATTGAAGGAGACGTTATGAGTGTTGATTATTTTATGATTGCCGTAATCAAACACAAGGTAGTTCCGATTGAATTTGTCGAATCCCACTAAAATACCTCTCTGTGATGTTGGACCAAATTTTCCATCCCGTCAAGGATGTAACAGATCCGATCCCCGGATCGGTATTTATTGGGGATCGGATCGAAAATGGACCCGATACCAGGTATTGGTATTGGATTGCTCCACCCAATCCAATCCCAATGTATTGGACAACTGGGATAGGGTGGAGCGATCCGATACCGATACCTGGTATTGGGTCCATTTTCAATCTGATCCCCGATAAATACCGATCCGGGGATCGGATTGCTTACAATTTGGATGATACCCAAGTGTAAGGCATACAGCCCGCAGCATTTGGGTGCCGGATCGGGATTGCAATGCGGTCCGGATCCCGATCCGATACCATTTCAATACGATACCATGGGATCGGATCACCCTTAGCGATCCGATCCCTTATTTTTTGATACCTGGTATCGAAAAATCGATCCGATCCGATAAATCGGCCGATACCGTATCGGATCGGATCTGTTTCACCGTTGATCTCGTTCATCATCACGGTTGTGAATGTATGTAAGACATCTAAAAGTTCTGATATAGTTGAGATCTGGCTTG